ATATCTAAATGATCTGACCTTCCCAAAACAAAGAATAGCTTTCTTCAGAGTCAGATTTAACATTCTTCCCTCAGCACTCCTCCAGGGCAGGTATAAGAGAACACCAATAGCAGAACAGGTATGTACTGTATATGTGGTAAAGGAGAAGTCGAAGACATCTCACATGTTTTATTGTACTGTGAGTTATACCAAGTTTATAGGACAGCATATATTCTCCCCTTATTAGAGAGATTGCCAGGGAGGGCAGACAATTTTTATGTACGCTTTCTCCTCCAGGACTCAAACCCTTCTATCACGCATGCAGTGGCAAAATACTGTGTTGCAGCAATGTCCACAAGAAAAAAATTGGTTACAGATTTATAGCCATCAACTTGTGCCAATTTTTTGGAGATATCTCTAATAATGTTTGGAACATTATATTTACTCACACACTAATCGGCTATCCACTCACGTAAACTAGGGAGTGACTCTAACATTTTGAGAACATGTATTTTCTTAACAGGGATGTTATTATTAACTATTAATGTCAGTACTATTTTTATTTTATTTTTATTTTCTTAATGTATTGTAAAAAGTGATGTCTATTGCTGGTCTATGACCATAATAAAGTTGTTGTTGTTGTTGTTGTTGTTATTGTCTAGTATAAACCTTTACAGTACATCCTGCCCCAGCAAGGATAATAAGTGAATTCTCACAAACTATGTAGGATTCAAAACAAAACTGAGTAGACACAGAACCTCCGATATTAGTCAATTTTTTCTTGAAAAATAAGTGAAGTATAACTTGGGTTATTGCAAAATTATTTTGGTGTTGAAGCTAATTAGTTTGCCCTCAGTTTCTGAACTGCAGAATATGAACTAGTCCAAGAAAGCATTGCTTGTGGTAGTGGCTAATGCTCTACAATCTCTTTCCCTGTCCCCATTTTTTTACTGTTTCTCATATCATATATATCGTACTAGATTTGTGGCTTAATTCTTAAAGTTTGGAAAGGAAGCATCTGACATCTGCATAATTAAACACTAACATGCAGAGCAGTATATTTAAGGTACACAGTTTAAGCAGCATGATATGAATACTTTACACATTTTTTGAGTGCTGCAAAACACAGAGAACCAAGGCTTTGAATAGAATTTGATGGGTGTGTGTCTTATTTTCACAAATATCAGTTGTGAGGTCTTTGCATCCGGTTATTTCCTACTGAGTTGCCAAGAGGCTCACTTGTGCTGCAACAGGAAAAGGGAGCAAACATTGTCTTAAAATAGGCAAATTCTTATTCAAAATATAAATGCAAATTAGCAGAAATGACTATAATTAAGTAGAACTGCTATGTAATTGGCATATAAATTAAGGTGTCTACCCAAAAAAAAGTGGGAAGCTTATCTGATATTTTTAAAAAGGCTAATATTTAAGAGAGGCAGAGCAAATTCCCCTGTAAACTTCTCCACTATATTGTACACCTTAAATACAATGCATCTTACTATAAAGCTGCACCATATGAAATTCCAAGGAAAGTTCTGTTGCCCCTCTATTTTTATTATTATTTTATTTTCATTACAATCATAAGAAAAAAAATTCAGATACATAAGAAGTTAAAATACAACACATAAATTCCGACGTTGCTCACCCATTTCCCCCAGACCGCATCCCCCTCTCATCTCTTCACTTCCCCCTTCCTTCTACCTCCTCCTCTCCTCCCCTCCCTCTCTCCTCCATCTTTCTACTTACTTATCCCTCTCCTCTTCTTTTCAATTGGATGTGGTCTGAGGGAAAATGCCCGAGCAATCCTCTATCACCAAAATCTGAACTATTGAACATACTACCCATACTCTCCCCTCCCTCCTTCCCCCCCCCCCCGACTTCCCAGAGCTCAGTACAGGGTTACAAAAAAAAGAAGAAGAAAAGGAAAAAAAGAAAACTAAACATAGTCAACTTAAATTTACTACTTATACAATAACCGGAATCCTAATAACCCTTAACTCTCTGCAAACTTGAATTCATATTTTAATAAAAAGCCATTATTCATAAAATAAATGAAACTTTGTTGTTCCATACTTCTTCTGAATATATTCTATCCATCTTCTCCATACAGAAACATACGGTATCTCTTTTGTGAATGGTCCTTTAAGTAAGCAGAAATTTTAGCCATTTCTGCTAAGTTAGAAACCTTGAATACCCATTCTTCCAAAGAAGGCAGAGAATCTTTTTTCCAATTCTGACCCACCAATAGTCTTGCTGCTGTTATTAAATTCAGCATTAAAATAGTTTCTTTAACATTAAAATCCACAACCCCCCCCCAAAAAATAATTGGGGAGTAAATTTAATTTTCCTTTTAAAAACCTTTTGAATGTTCCACCAAATCATAATCCAAAAAGCTTTAATATTTTTGCAAGTCCACCAAACATGAAAATAAGTTGCATCCAAGGAACCACATCTCCAACATTTGAGTTGCAAATTCGGATACATACAAGATAGCTTTTTAGGATCCAAATGCCATCTATAAAACATTTTATAAAAATTTTCCCTCAAATTTTGTGTTTGAGTAAATTTAACATTTCTAACCCAGATTATCTCCCAAGAATCCATTAAGATTGGTTCCTGTATGTTCTGGGCCCATTTGGTAATACAATCTTTTACTAACTCTGTTTCTGAATCCAATTTTATCAACTCATTATAAATTCTTTTGATATGAGCAAATTTCTGATCTTTAATCTGAATTACCAAGTTTTCATCTGTTAAAGTAATTCCCACCTTCTTATCTACCTCCATCTCTCCATTATTTGTAAATATTGAAATCATGATTGTAAAATATTTTCTTGCCTTAACAAATCAAAAGACTTTAATTGCCAATCTGTACCTGACCAACTCTTTATAGGAAATATTGTCAAAATTCACCCCTTTAGAAACCCCTTGAATTGCCTGTCCAGGAATCCCCCAAATGGGTATTTTATAGTTCAATTTATAATAATACTTCCTCCAGACATGGAGTATGGCATTTCTTAAAATATGTGACTTAAACACCCAATCTACTTTCTTATCAAAAACTAAATATGCGTGCCAACCAAATAATAAATCCCAGCCTTCAAGAACCAAAATATTTTTGTTTGTTAACAAAATATAATATAATATAATTTCAGATTAGGTGCTTTAAGTCCACCCCTTTCTCTAGCATCTTGTAAAATCTTAAACTTAACCCTTGGTTTCTTGCCACCCCATATAAATTTATTGATACCCTTCTGCCACTCTTCCAAATTTGCATCCTTTTTCAAAATGGGTAACATCTGAAATAAAAAAGAAACTTTGGTAGAACATTCATCTTTACTACTGAAATTCTCCCCAACAAAGATAAATTGTAGTTTTTGCCAGTCATTTAGGTCTTTTTGTACCTTTATCCACAATTGTTCATAATTATTCTTATACAATTTCCCATTAGATGTTGTGATATATACTCCTAAATACTTAACCTTATTAACTACATCATAACCTGTTGCTTCAGCTATAGTATCTTTTCCCTTCATAGACACATTTATGTTGCCCCTCTTCTGAAGGACCAATTGGATGTGGAGCAGACAACCATTGAATAAAGTCTAGCCCATCGAGAGCTGTGTTCTGAACAGATACCCTCCTTAATTTGTCATATTAAGTTTGCATTTCTTTTTCTATAAGACTCTTGTGCCTTTCAGAGCCCTTGCTCTATTGCTGATATGACCTGGAAATAATGAAAATTGCCATGCTATGAATACATCTCATAGGCCGATTGTTGCCTACGAAGCTTCTGAAAACCACAATGTATCAGTCCTTTGGGATGGAGGGAATTGGTATAGGGGTCAACCTGGTGTACTGGATTTAGTATTGTGTAATGTCCTAGGGGCTCCCTGGCATCATGTTTTAAATTAGGCTTCCCAGAGATGACATTCTCACATAGAGCAAGACTGCTTATGGATATTTCTGGGGGTTGCAGTTTTGGTCTATCTGGAGCAGGCCAGAACTGGAAAAGCTATTTTAATTCATCCTTGCCTTGGAAAGTTCACCTCTTGCTGGATCTCAAACTTTGAACAATTATTTTAAGATGTTAATTTGTTAAGCCAACCTTTTGTTTTACTAGTTCAGTTTTTGATGTGAGTCATATACAAAGATGGAGAATCTGAAGGTCAAATCCCTTAAATCCCCCACTTTTTCAAACATTCCAAAGCAGGTTTTGAGGATGAAATTGATTTTCACTTTTTCACTGCTTTTGATTAATTATTGTTGTGGAAAGGGAACCTTCAACAAAGCTACCTGTTTGTGGGGTGCAGTCTCTAAGGAGCTGGCCATCTCAGATCATAGGGCAAAGCAAGCTTAATCATAGGCTGGCTTTAATCCATTCTTCTGTGTTAAAGCCCTACAGCTGGAAACCTTTATAAACTTGTAAACTAGGTATGCTCAGTTCAGTGCTATATGGCAGGAAAAAAAATCCATACCTCCAAGTATATATGCTTAATAATTTAAGCATCTATTTTCATCTGTTGGTGAACTGTTAAATAAAATTAAGGAATTACTCCTCTGGTATAGGAGATACAGAGTTCAGACCTGTGGAAAACACTAGTAACTATCTGTATCTTTCAGATATTTGTGTTTATTATTGTGTTCTTTCCATCCATCCTTTCTAATGTCTGAGGCAATCTTATTGACTGAAATAAGGTTCTTCACATAGCAATTATTTATCTATCAGGTATATTAAATAAAGTACTTCACACAGCAATTTATTTATTTATGCATATGATTTATAAACAGGATAATGTCCATGAATTTATACATTTACACTCAAGCTTTCATTTCTTATTGATTTACACTCAAGCTTTCATTTTGTATCCAGATGGCAGCTAATAACATGAAATGGAAGACAAGTTAAAGAAAAGTTCACCCTTGGCAAGAAATTTTGCATTAATACACTTTCTATTTTGTCCACAGTATAATCTGCCATAAACTCACTGAATATGATCTACTTCTTTCTTTGGCCTTAGTCTCCCCTGTCGTGGAACCCATCTTCCAGGATATTCGGCAAACCATGGGACGTAGTGTAATCCTTCGATGTACCATGTTAAAGGGAAGCCCTATGAAAGTGGCCACAGCTGTCTGGAGATTTAATGGTAGCCTTCTAACAGTGCCTCCAACAGAGCAGCAAGACTATTCAGAATATAAAGTGGACAGTGTAAGCCGGGAGACTAGTGGCAACTATGAATGTAGTATCTCCAATGATGTTGGGGTTGCGGTTTGCAAATTCCAGGTATCAGGTAAGTCTTACCTGTGCTTTTTCTTATTTAGTGGATACTAGTATGATTAACTTGGCTAATAAATGGTAGATGAATGAAATGGGAAATTTGCCCATGATGAGACTCTCTAATAAAACAAGGAGATCCAGTTTTTACCATCTCTCCATTTACCGAGCAGTCCCAGAGCAGTAGAAAGATAGTGCTGGGACAAAAAGTGGACTTATCCAGTGGAATCTCCACTGGATCACCAGCTTTTCTGCAAAGAAGGAGACATTCCATTTAGGAAAGGGCAAGTCTGGATCCAATACCTTCTTGATAAAATGAGGCACAAAAATTGGTTCCTATAAGATTCCAATACTCACACTTTCCTTCACCTGCCTCCTAGGAATATATGGCAAGATGAAAACAAAGAGGCACGTAGCTCGTTGTTCACTCCAAGATTAGTTCCTATATTACATTTTGCTATCTTGTCTTTTAAGTTTGGAAGCCTGAGGGCAGTTTCTGTTTTTTAATTGATAGAGTTGATGAATAAAAAATAGACTTTATGCCACAATGCAGCATGTAATTAAATATGATCTGGTGATTTAAAAATGGAAAGTTTAACTCCTTGGTATCAGTGTTGTTTCCATGACATCTGGGCTTCAGGGATATAAAATATTCTTTGACCCTTTTATTCTGTTTTCTTGCAAAACTGTCTCAGAAAAATGAGTGGCTAGAGGTCAAACATACCCTTTGGACTTCCCTGATTTTTGTGTGTGTGTGTGTGTGTGTGTGTGTGTGTGTGTGTGTGTGTGTGTGTTTGTATTAATAGACTTTGGCATTTTGCAGACATACAATCCTTTAACAAAGTCCATTCTTTGCAATCAATATGAATTACTTTAGTCAGCATTTTCCAATCACTATAAAAGTGGTAGGTAACTTTTACACCTTATCACAACATCAAGTGTATACCACAAGAAAACCTCCTCCATACTTCAGTTATCAGGCTTGTACCAAAAAAATGCCATCTCTGCACATTTAAATAGAAATCTATGTGAATTTAATATAGAAATATGCCCGTTTCTTCATCTCCCAATGGTTGTTATAGCTGCTTGTGTACAACTTTCATTGTTTCAAAATCTATATGAATATTTTCCGCTCTTTCTATAGCAGAGTTCATGCATGTAGAGTTAGAGGTGAGGTCCAGCATTTATTTAATTCTTCTGTGTATTCAAATAGCTGCAAAATGCTCCATAGCTGATATATATGAACAAGAGGAAAATTATAAAGAGTCCAATGACTCTTATTATTATATTACTGGAGATGGAGTCTTTTATCTTGGGAATCAATTAATTATAAAAATGGGCATAAGATAATGATTATTGTCTGTTCTGATTTTATTTTATAAATTTGTCATGAAATTTGACTTAACAGTCAATACAAGTTGAATAAGCAACAATTAGTCTCCAAGGTGGCTCTGAATGTCTGCATGCACAAAAATGTACGTCAATAAAAATAATAAGAAAAGGGGGTTCAGGAGTGAACATCAATATTACCATTCTAAGTTAATAAAAATAAACATGGAATCATTTCCATTTAATTAGAGCAGAAAAGAATGGCTGAACTAGTAATTGGGGTGGGTAAAAAAAGAATGGAAAAGAAGAAAACCTTGGAAATAAGGAATACCTGTAAAATTTATTGCCTGTCTTTGAATATTTTCCCATTGTATGGTTTTTGTGATTTTAAATTGGCCAAACGCGAGCATGTAGATAGGGTTTTCTGTGAAAAGATTTTGCTTTGGAGATAAACTGTGGGATTTGGGACCACAGTGTCTTCCTTGTGAATCAGTAACAAGGGGTGGGTGAATGGAAGGATTTTAAATGTTTATAGTTAATCTTCAGGGTACAAAAGACTCCCAGCACCACACTGTGGCCTTCCAGCATCCAAGATTGCACTACCAACATTCTGCAGCAAAATAGTGCTGCTGTCAAGGTTCAGACTAGCAAACCCAACCAAGCAAACACCTTCGAGTCTCTTCAGGCTGTTATTGCAAAACTTTATTGAATACACCATATCAGCACATATGAAAGTAAAACCAGCTGTGGCAGGCCCCTTTCCAAACCCCATAATAAAAGCACTAACTTCTTCCTCCTCTCTCTGGGTCAGGTCACATTGCCCAATCAAGTTAGAAATTATGTTTATGGGAAAGCATCTCTAGGTCCAGTTAGACACCTGGCCATTGTCCTTGATTCCCATGGTCTGCTTCCTTAATCTTTGAAGTCTGCATTCCAAACCTCTCCACTCCCCCTCCCCCCCGACCAAGCTTGTTGGCAAGTTAAGAAGCAATGTCTGTCACACCAGCAAGATGGGGTTTTGAAACTTGACAGCTGCATTTGCGATGCTGTATTTTTGTTATGATTACTGCCCTCTCAAATAAGTGTGGCTATGAAAGTTAGCCATTCTCATTTCCACCTTAACTACCCCAATCCTTCCAAAACTGCATGAAATCAATTTAGAGGAGAGCTTGGAGAGATGTAGTGGGAGAAGAAACATCTAAAGCACTCCTGGAAGGAAACTTGGAGAACACTTGACTGAACAAATGTAGAGCTGCTATTGAGGCTTATCTTGAGGTGATAAAGATGTCAAAACACCATTACTTTTCTGCATTTATTTAGTGGCGTTCAATACCACTGAATATGATATCCTTCTGCACTCACTCCAGGGCTTAGGAGTTCAATCCATATTTGATTCTCCTCCTTCTTCCTAGGCCATTTCCAGTCAGTGTTTATGATGGGGAGAGATCTGTCCTCAGGCTTCTCTTTTGTGAGGGCTCAATTCTTTCCCCACTCCTCTTTAATATCAACATAAGCTACTAGTTGAAGCAATTGAGCAGCAGAGCATGATGTATTATCAGTACACTGAAGATAGCTGTATATCTCTGTCCCAGTCAGCCTGGTAATACTGTGGAAAGTTTGTCTACAGTAGACAAAATGCTTATAGGCTGCCGAGGTCTGGATGGAAAAGTAAAGGACTCAGCTCAAATCTAGTAAGATAAAGTGACTTTGGATTTGGTAGTTTTCCATCTTTAGTTGTGTATGATGTCCCACTGTCCCAGACAAACACAGTGTGCAATTTGAAGGTCCTCCTGGACTTATGGGTCACAGCTTCATACTATGTACTAGTTGCACTTTTAAAAAAATATTTTTTTTATTTTAATTCCATCTTTATTTACAAATAATTCAAGGTGGCAAACATACATAATATCCCCTTGTCCTATTTTTCCCACAACAACCCTGTGAGGTGAGTTGGGCTGAGAGACAGAGACTGGCCCAAAGTCAGCCGCTCATGCCTAAGGCAGGACAAGAACTCACAGTCTCCTGGTTTCTAAGCAGTGTCTTAAACCATTAGATGAGACTAGTCATTTGGTGATTAGATGACTATGCAATCTATTTTTATACTGTTATTTATAGTATATTTTTTAATATTTATTAGCTACCCAGAATCACTGCAATTGTGTATTAATATTATTATAGTTGGTTGCATAGTAAGCCAGATGTTTAAATGGATTTGGTATTTTCATCCTCCTAGTGACTCTTTCCCAAGGACCTGGAATAGGCATATATCATTGTTTTGGGATAGAACTCAAATACTTACTTTTGGTAGTATTTTTGCTTTCTTTTGCCACAGTCATTCTACTTCTGTTTGCAGATGTTGTATGTGATTTTCTCCCATTCTTTTTCTTGTATACTGCTGTCTCCAGGTACTAAGTAAATAATAATAATAATAATAACAACAACAATAAAAACAACAAAAAACATATAAACACCAATTCACTGCAAGAAACAAACCAACTAATGTACAGCACAGCTGCAGTTATAACTAAATACCTGGGATGCAAAATCAACAAAGAAGAAAAACAAACAAACAGTGCATCAGAAAAATGGAAGGTTAGACTAGAAAATAAGATCAGCAAGTTAAGATCACATGCAAGCAAGGTAGAACAGATGAAAGAAAAGAAGCTGAAGAACAAGAAGACCAAAGAATACCTAATCAAGAAATACCACTTAGAAACAAAGAAGATCAAGGAAGCACTGGAAATAATAAAGCAACAAATAACAGCTATAGCCAGGAAAATCAGTAGATATGAAGCTCGAATTGCAAACTATAGGCAGAACCTCCAATTTCAATCCAATCAGAAACGTTTCTACCAATCCATCAATGGAGAGAAACTGCAATGAATCAGTCAGTACCTGACAAGGAAGAAATCAATCAGTACCTGACAAGGAAGTGCAGTTCTGGAAGCAGATATGGGATAACCCAAAGAAATACAACAAGGATGCGGCTTGGTTAAAAGAGGTGGATGCAAATAAAACAAAAGTTGAAATGAAAGAAGTAGTAATAACAACAAAAATGGTAGAAAAAAGAGCAAGGAAAATCAAAAATTGGTCAGCACCAGGTGAAGATGAACTGCATGGGTTTTGGTTGAAACATCTAACTGTTATACACCCACTCGTTGCCAAGCAGTTCAACAATATACTATAAGGAGGAGAAATTGAAAAGTGGCTAACAACTGGGAAAACCTACCTAATAATGAAAAATCCAGCAAAAGGGGCAACACCAGGCAACTACAGGCCAATTACCTGCTTACCAACAACTTTCAAATTACTAACTGGTGTGGTAGCTGATGCAGTACAACAGCATCTAGTTGAAAACAATCTCTTTCCACCTGAGCAGAAAGGAAACAGCCCCAATAGTAGAGGAACAAAAGATCAACTCCTAATAGACAAGATGATCTTGGAAAACTGCAAGAAAAGGAAGACCAACCTGAATGTGGCATGGATTGACTACAAAAAGGCATTTGACTCTCTGCCACATGACTGGATAATCAAGTGCCTAGAAATAACAGGAGTCAGTAGAAACATCAGAAAATTTGTGAAAAGATCGATGGCACAATGGAAGACACAGTTGCAGATCAATGGTGAGAGCCTGGGAGAGGTTAATATCAAGAGATGAATATTTCAAGGAGATTCATTACACCATTACTATTTGTTATTGCACTGTTTCCTCTGTCAACAATACTGAATAACTCAGGACATGGCTATCAAACATCAAAAACATCTGCCAGACTATCCCATCTCCTTTACATGGATGATCTGAAGCTGTATGGAAAAACATCATCTGAAATAGAATCGCTGCTCAACACTGTCCGTATATATAGCCAAGATATTGTAATGGAGTTTGGCTTGGACAAATGTGCCACACTTACTATCAAACAAGGAAAAATAGTGAAAACTGAAGGAATCAAGATGCCCCACGAAAATAACATTAAGAGTCTGGATGAGGAAGATTACTACAAATACTTGGGTATCCTTCAAGCTGACAACATCAAGCACACTGAAGTCAAGAAAAAGATTAGAGGTGAATACATCAAGAGAGTGAAGAAGATCTTAAAGTCCAAACTCAATGGAGGAAATACCATAAAGGCAATCAACACCTGGGCAATCCCAGTCATTAGGTACACAGCTGGAATAGTGGACTGGACTCAAGCAGAACTAAAAGCAATGGATAGGAAGACCAGAAAAATAATGACAATGAATCATGCCCTTCATCCACGCAATGACATTGATAGACTTTATCTACCAAGGCAAATAGGTGGGCGTGAAATGCTACAAGTATATCAGATGGTTGAAGAAGAAAAAATGGCTTTGGAAGAATATCTGAAGAACAACAATGATGAAGATGCACTGAAATTAGTATATCAGGAAGGTTTACTGATTACTGGAGAGACCAAACTGGCCTACAAGAAAGACCAAATGAAGAACAGAATAGAGGCATGGGAAGACAAAGCACTACATGGCCAATACATTAAAAAAATAGCTGGGAAAGCAGATAATAACAAGACCTGGCAATGGCTAAGAGCAGGAAAATTGAAGAAAGAGACCGAGGGACTAATTCTGGCTGCACAAGACCAAGCCTTAAGGACAAATGCATATAAAGTCAAAACTGAGAAGACAGCAACAGGCAGTAAGTGCCGCCTATGCAAAGAAGCTGAAGAAACAGTGGACCACCTGGTAAGCTGTTGCAAGAAGATTGCACAGACTGACTACAAGCAGCAGCATGACAAAGTAGCAACAATGGTGCATTGGAAGATCTGCAAAAAATATCATTTGCCTGTAAGCAAAAACTGGTGGGATCATAAAATAGAGAAAGTCATAGAAAATGATAAAATTAAACTGCTCTGGGACTTCAGAATTCAAACAGACAAGCACCTGCAACATAACACCCCAGACTTAACAATTGTCGATAAGAAAGACAAAAAAGTCTGGATAGTGGACGTGGCAGTGCCTGGAGACAGCAGAATAGAAGAGAAAGAACTGGAGAAGATAACAAAATACAAAGACCTACAAATAGAAATAGAAAGACTGTGGCAAAAGCAAGCAAGGGTAGTACCAATAGTAATAGGCTCCTTGGGTGCAATCCCAAAACAACTGGAGCACCACTTGAACACCATTGGCATTGACAAATTCGCTATTAGTCAATTGCCTTAAGGAACTGCTTCCATCCTCGACGATATCTGTAATACCATCAAACATCCACATCTGCCTATCCCAGGTCCTGGGTAAGGACTCGATAGGTAGACAAAATGCCAAATCCAGTCTGAACATCTGTTGAACAGCTCCTTACTATTAAGAACAGATTCATAAATGCAACTGGACTTCTTCTAAGAGAGTACTGTGTGTTGCATAATTTAAGGAAATGAGGGGGGGAAAACTGGCCTTCTTCTTCAGATATTTGAAAAGTAAAAATGTATCTGCATTAAATCAGCTTTTCCCAAGATTAAATATACTCTAAGTTTCTCCCTGTAAAATATAGTTTCCATTTCCTTGATCATACTTGTTGTTTTTCTATGAAACTGTTTTAGGACCTCTACATTAAAGTAAAATGCCAAAACCACAAATGGTAATTGATATGGGGACTGACCAATGAAGATTATAGTGGAACTTTTGCTATATTTCCCTTGACCTAGAAATTGTTCTTCTGTTAATGTAGCTTTAAATTGCATTCTAAGCAAAGAATTCTCCTATATTGGTTATCTTAATTGCTAGGGAATAAATTTGTTGTGTCACAAAGAGCAATGTTACAGTTACTACTATGCCATAATAGAGAGAAGTAACTGATAGTGGACAGATATTACATTGTGGTTTTTTTCCTCATCTCAAGGCTTGCTAACAAGTAGAAGCAAAAGCAAAGTTGGTTTAGTTGTAGATCGGAATGCAGAGTTTTTATTAAGCTTTATTATGATAAATGAATTTTACTAATCATATTCCCAGAAGTAGTAGATAGTGGATATGAAGTTAACAATATGTTTTATAAATATCTAAAGAGAAAATAAATACCTACGGTATTTGGTAGATTACGTGCCCATGACCTTCCTACTGAAAGTTCTTGATGAGTTGCATGCATGGATTCTTATGGTGCTCACTGAGTTATAACAACTTTCCTCTCTGTTCCTCTCATTCTCTTTTCTGCTTTTTAGCTAAAGCTTATAGCCCAGAATTTTACTATGATACTCCGAATCCTACAAGGAAGCAATCCAAGAACTATTCCTATGTCTTACAGTGGACACAGAAGGAACCAGATGCTGTTGATCCCATTCTTAGTTACCGTCTAGATATCCGTCAGGTAAGATCTATAATAGCAGCTTAAACACAGAAATTCAGCTGCTGCGGTAGCCAGCTTCCAGACAATAGTTGCAGAGTTAAAGCAAGAATGCTTTTTTCCATATCTACCTAGATTAGAATTTGATATTTGCAAAGCAGGTTAGAACAGACAGCATGATGCTTCTTTTCTCATTTTATATGGCTGAGAAATCTGTTGCATGACATACCCTTTAATTATACATTCTGATGCACAAACATTTGAGAGCTAAGAAAGTCTATTGATTCCCCTTGGAATTTTCAGGCTTTGTGTTTTCACTAAAGCTGTAACAAGAACAAAAACTTGTAGACATTAGTAGTTTTTGTAGATTTCATAGGCCAACCATTTAGAAGGGTGGGATTTCAGATTCTTTCCTTTGAACCAACAAAGGACTGTAAATTGAAGGGCACCCCAGGTTCAAACTGCCAAGAAAATTCATTAATTGTTCATGTTGTGCAAAGCCCTTCTCCAAGCTGTTATAATAATAAGGGGAGATTATTACAACCTTCTGAAGAAAGGTTTGGGACAAAAGAGTAATACGGAATGAAACAGAATCATAAACAGAACAACCAGGAAGAAGAAAATATTTGATATGCTGGACAGTTGAAATATATTCATAGGTGCGTACATATACTGTATGTGTATGAGTGCATGTGTTTCTGTTTTCTCAGCATGGACCTGTGAATCAGACATACAATCAAGTTCCTAAATTTCTCAGCTAATCTATAATTTAGTTAAACCAAGATTATGGAAACAATTCGAGGACTATATGCCAAAGGTAGCTCTGTTTGTGTAGAATAAGCAAATAAATAAGTCAGTATAAAAAAAAAGAATGGGACCACAGACTCTATGCATTCTAAAATTCTTCTTTTTTCCTTGTTTTTTTCTTATTGTTCTTATAAGGTCTGTTGTTCTGTTTCTCTTTTTGATACCCTCTCTACACAAAGGAAAGGGATGTATTTTCTCTTTGTAGGAAAGGTCAATCTGCATTTTTGAGGACTATTTTTTGACAGATCTTACCTGATCTGAGGCTGTGGATTGCCTGCTCTGAGTTATGCTGAAGTTTGTAAAGTTTAGACCTGCTCGCCGTAAAAGCCCCTGAGAAAGATTAAATTCTAAGCAATTAGTCTTAACTGTTATGATGAGAGCCAAAGTCTATGCTTGTATATTCTGTACTACTGTTCTTCCATTCGCAGAATATTCCTTGATCCAGCAAAGACTATGTTGATCAAAGAAGAAAGCAATATCCCCTGATTTCTTCTTCCCTTCTATAACTCCTGTATTCCCTAATCTATTCTAAACAATTAGACTTGTTCCAAAACATGGGAAGCATGGTGGGGATGCCCCTATTCCCCTATTCAGGGAAATATTCACTAGTTCATGGGCTTTATTTTAAATAGAATGGTAGAATCATATATAGTCCTTTATCAACAAAACAGATAGATATGCAACATAATGGAATATAACTTTTTTTCTCCAGCATTTGGTTTGGTGACCCCTGGGTGTCATTGGCAAAATGAGCTTTTCTGTCTTTGTCCATTGTCTTTTGGGAAACATTAGAGTTCACAGCAAACCTCAAAATGCTAAAATGATGACACTTTTGCATGTTGCATGGTCATGGAAATGGAAATGATGGCTGTGCATACTTGCATTTCAGTATTGGACACAAATGTATACATCATAGAATGTGTATGATGCTATCATTACTCGTGTTTTATTATTTGCTGACACTGCCTTTTCCTGTTGATGCAAATGTTGGGAAGGCGAAAATCAGAAAATCATTTCTGATTACAGATAGTATTCTTCTTTGATGGTTTTGGAACTGTGGTTGCTACTTCTGAGGGATATTTTAGCCATTTGGGGGTTCAGATTATTTGCTGTGCTTGGCAATTTTTGTTTTAGTTGCTGGAATTCTGAGATGATTCTGTGCTTAAAAATTATTCCTTTTGGCTAGATAAATTGCTTCAGCCCACAAAGAAAAATCTTTTGTCATTTCTTGTTCTTTTAAACAACTATAGTTATGAATGATACTAATGCCCATAAGAGACCAAGTGTTTAATCTTATTATTGATCCAGCCAAGATGAAACTAAAAATTAATGCCAACTAGTTAAGGTTAGAATACTTTCCCCTTTCTAACATATGCTGTTCTGGAACCTTAAAAACACCAGTGAAATAATCCCCAAATAATCGTCAGTTTATTTGTGGGAGTTACTATGATTTATCCTTTACCATGCATTGAACTCTGTAGTCTGTGTAATTTTGTTCATATCTGGCCTTTCTTCTGCCAAAACCAAGAGAGGATATAATCTGACCTTTTATTTTAAATTAGGAAACTCATTCTTGTTAATTCATTTGTAGTTTATAAATTGTTATTTGGTAGAAAGCAACGATTTTATTGAAATGTTTGCTAGCTATGAAATTAATATAATTAATATTACTTGCGTTAGACTCTTTGAAATAATTTTAATGTGCACTTCACATCTAGTGACATACTTTTCATGGTTGTGCTGACATAGCTATTAATTTTTAAGAATCTTCTATTTAAAGTAATTTCTTCAGTGTGTTTATTGTTTGACTTCAACCTGGGCTATTTAGGACCTGTTTTTAGACCAAACTCTAAACCTATAACATGAAACTGCAAAACACGAAAATCCAAAGTAACCATGCAACATTTTTCCAGCTGCTATATGTAGGTATTCTATGGTTGGATAAATATGTCACCTTTGTTTTCCTTTAACTTGTCATTTTCCTGATCACAAGCTTATTCTGGGCTCTTTCAACATCTGTTTCAAATGGGTTCTCCTCCCCCCCCCACTCACCCACCTTGCATTTTTCTCCACATTTCTCTTTAACATCTACCATATGCACTTTTTCTACTGTGCAAATATTTCCCAAGTAATTTTCTATTGATGTAATCCATTCTTGCAAGAAAGAACATTCATGTCTGTGCATGTTATACTTCATTAATGTATTTTATGAATAGTTTATTGCACACTGTATTTTGACAGGGATGTATCTTCTACATACGTTTATTTCAGAAGTATAAATTTGATAAGTGTATGTAGAAATTTAGACTGGACAAATTTCATATCCATCTGTAAACAGCATATTAGAGCTGAAGTATACATGAACAATACCAGTGTAGTAGCACCAAGTATGTTCTACGGTAAGAATAATCAGTACAAAATGATGATCGTAAAGATTTAAGTTCCCCAATTTGATTTTGTAACACTGAATTTGAACTTTACAGTATGAAACTAATTCTATTCAGAGCTTTCTACACCGTAATAGTCTTACAGGGTCTTTTTATTGCCGTTTTCTTCTTTATTAGACATAATGCACTCTTCACTAAAGTGATGTGCAAAGATGAAGATTTTAAGGATGATGCTTTCAAAGTTGCTGGGGCACATTGTGACAGGTAATAGGGTAGGCTGAGCTTGGAAGTAAAATATTATTTACTTTCAATGTAGAGGACAGAACAATTTCAAAAGATCTGAGCACCTCTGTTCTCTGGGTCAGACAGAATATCTTTTTTCATTCCGTTCTTTGTGATGGCTCACTCTCTAGAGAACTGTCTGCTTCTGTATTACTTTCTCATATAGCGTGGAGCACATTGTCAGTCCTTAACAAATAATAACAATTTTACCAACCCAGTACACAAGGGAACATCTTATAATGAACGTGCTTTGTCTGAGAGCAGCCTTGCTTTATGCTGAACTTTGCCACTCTAATTTCCAACTAACCATGTGCAAAGATACAGACAGATTTTGGCCTAAATGGACAAGTAGAAATTCAGATACATGATGTACCATGCCTCAGTTCAGATGTTGTTTAAAGGGAGTCTAAATATACAGCTTAGTAGGGTGAGGGGTGTTCCAAAATAACAAAATTTTGGAACAGTCCTTAATATTAATCAAATCTGCCAGATCTTTACAATAGTTATTTCCTTATTGCAACCTCACTTTTTGCTAGCTCTCACTTGACTTGGTCCCAAGTTACTTACAGGCCTATCTGTTTGCAGATTCAGTCATACTGGAAGAAATATTTTAGCAGATTTTTCCCCATTTGGGGAGCTTAGAGGAGCCAAAGACCAAAGATATTGTTTTTCTATTGTTGGACTGATCATCTGGATTGGAGATTGGCTTAGTTCTAACCCTGTTCACTTTCCAGAAGAAGTTGAAGATAAAAGTCTTCCCAAGAGTATTTGGGACATGATGCCACTTAATTGTTGCTAGTGGATTTAATTGACTTAGATCAGACATGTCAAACATAAGGCCCAGGGCCCAGATGCAGCTCGCAAAGTGGTTTCATGTGGCCCGCAAAGCCATCCTGGAAACAGTGAGGGAATGGTCCCCACTGCTGGCCCTGGCCCAGGCCAGCTGGGAGCCAATGTACAATTTTGTAGTGGCTATCTTGGCACTTGCCCCAGTGGACCATGCCTTGGCACTTGCCCCGGTCCCACCCCCTTCTGCCAGAGACCCTCAGATCTGTCCCATTTCTGCCCAGGCCCCCACAGGCACCCTTGACGCAAATGATGTAGAACTGGCCACGCCCACCCAGTAGGCCACACCCACTCCATTCATGCCCACCCAGTAGGCTACACCCACTCTGGCCACACCCACCCTGCCCCCCAAGGGCAACCGCAGTGTTGATGCGGCCCTCAGTAGAAATTGAGTTTGACACCCCTGACTTAGATTAAGTGCCTTGGCTTTCTTATTATTAAACAGCTGTGTTGTAAACTGCTGATGTCTGTTTCAGTTGAAGGAAGAAGGAAGTTCTTTACCTAATGTGTTTATGATTAAAGCCTTCAAAACCATATTTAATTTTTCTTATAATGGCACAGTTAACTTAAATTACTTATGTCCAGCCTTCCATCCTACCAAGGTCGATATAAAATGAGGACCCAGATTGTTAGGGGCAATATGCTGATATTGTGAACTGTCCAGAGAGTGCTGTAAAACACTATGAAGCAGTATATAAAAGC